CTGCTCCTGGGTATTAAATAAACAAACGAAGTACATAGTTATGATTAGCAAAGGTGCCTCTTACAAAATTGTCAATTTTATGGCCCCAGGGTGAGGGGTTCTGGCGTTAAGGTGGGGCTCTATTGGTTATTTAGTGAAAATGCATTAAATCTTTGAAAATCTTCTCCTCTCCTCCTGAGTATTACAATAACTAATTAAGCACAAAGTTATGATGAGCAAGAGTGCCTCTCTTAAAATGTTGAGTTTTATGACCCCAGGGTCAGGGGTTCTAGTGTTAGGACGGGGCTCTATTGGTTATATTTTGAAAAATGCAATTTTTCTTAAAAATCTTCCTCTCTGCTTCTGGGTATTTAATAAACTATGTCAGTACATAGTTATCTTGAGTAAGAGGGCCTTCTCCAAAATTGTGAATTTTATGGCCCCAGGGTCAGGGGTTCTGATGTTAGGATGGGGCTCTATTGATCATATAGTGAAAATGCATCAATTCTTTGAAAAATCTTTTCTGCTCCTGGGTATTAAATAAACTACCTAAGTATATAGTTATGATAAGCAAGAGTGCCTTTTCCAAAATTGTGAATTTTGTGGCCCCAGGGTCATGGGTTCTGGTGTTAGGACGGGTCTTTATTGATTATATAGTGAAAAAAACATTAAATCTTTGAAAATCTTTCCTTGCCCCTGTGTTTTATGCTAATGATCTAAGTATATATATTTGATGAAGAAAGGTGCATCTAGCAAAATGGTTATTTTTTATGCCCCCCTCCCTGGGTAGGGGATTGGGGTGGGGGGTACGTATTCTGAAAATGAATTATTGCTTTGAAATCTGCTCTTTGGTAATAATCAACCATTTTATGATAAAATTTGCAAAATTTGTGGCCCCAGGTTCAGTGGTTCCTTTGGAATGAGGTGCACAACTGGTTATAAAGTGGAAGTGCATTTTCTCTTTCACTTCGATACGATATACTAGATATATCCAGGAGAGCCTGAGATAAAAGATACCACAGAGTCTGACACATCTGTTTCATACTTGGATATTTTACTTGAAAAAGACGTCAATGGTAACTTAACAACCAAGTTATATGATAAACGTGACAAGTTTAACTTTTCTATCGTCAACTTCCATTACTTATGCATCAATATATACCTTCATCAACTGCATACGGAGATTATATATATCGATACGCAAGAGCATGCTCTACGAATGAACAATTTCTAAAACGAGGTAAATTATTGACAAGCAAGTTGTTGAAACAAGAATACCAGCAAGTTCTATGGTAGATACAATGACCTTGTCAGCATATATTTATCATTGAGTCAAATGCTGACTGACGTTTTTCATACTAATTGTTAGTCCATTATTTATACACTGAATTGACGACGGATTTTTCAGTTATTTCCTGATCATGACAATGAGCACACGGCGGGTGTGACCGGTCAGCAGGGGATGCTAACTCCTCCATGGCACCTGATCCCACCTCTAATGTTTCGGAGGTCCGTGTTTCTCTGTTGTTGTTTTGTATTGTTTTATGGACTATGAGATTGAATACTGTTTGTTATCTCCATATCCTTCATAGAGGCTTAATTTATGAAACAATCAATTTTGGACCAGGGGGTACGAGGGGCGTTCAATAAATAATGTCATCAATCAGATTCCATAAAATTCAGGGTTCAGTTGATCTTTAGATTTTTTTCCACGCATGATTTGGTCTATAATCTATTTATGGCCGTTTATCTGACCACGTTTCATCACCGCATACTCTCTTGAGAAGCTGATACATGACCCCTACTCGAGACACTGCATGAAAATATGACTGGTAAGTCATCTTCCAATAAGACTGAAATTAGAGGCTACATCAAAGCATGTGTCGGACTTGGTAAAGACTCAAAAGAAATTTTCAAGGAATTATGTGATGTGTATGGTAACAAGTGTATGTCATTGAGACAAGTTTTCAGGTGGGTGAGTAGATTCAAACACGGACAATTAGACGTTAAGCAGGGTTCGACACTAACATTTTTAGGCTTTGGTCCGGCCGAACTAGTGCTTCTTTACTTTTACTAGTCCGCGGGCAATTTTATGAGTCAGTCAAAAATAAAAATAGATAAATAGAATTAATGTTGCAATGTACTTTTTATACATTTTTGAAATAAACAAAGCATTTACATGAAATGTTTATACCAAGAATTCGTTGAAATCGCACAATCAGGAACTACGATCGTATTCCCGATCTCATTCGTTTCTCTCTATACATGATTACATCATCTAAACATCCAACATCTTTATTTATGTGACATACTAAATCATGATTACTAAAATGTTTAATTTCATACCAATAAGTCCTAATATTAAGCGCCGAATTGACTCAAATTACCTAACTTCCCGCCAAGAAGCTAGAAAGCTAAAAATAAACATTGGTTTTTCAAGTGAAAGTTGTCGAAAATTTGAACATCGGTAAATTTGGGGTTTTTTTCAAGAAAACTTTATTAGTCCATTCGGACTAATTAGCTACAATTGTTATTAGTCCGAATGAAAATGTATTAGTCTGAGACTAACGGACTAATGTTAATGTCGAACCCTGCGTTAAGGATAAGCAACGTCCTGGACCACCTCGAACTGCTTCAACTGATGCAATACTTGCAAAAATAACCAAAATCATCACTAATGATGCTCGATTAACCATTAATTCAGTAGGTATTTCATCGGGGACAGTTTTCACAATTTTAAAGAAACATCTTGGTCTCCGGAAGGTTAGTGCACGATGGATACCCCATCTTTTAACAGAAAAGCAAAAGCGATTACGTGTTGAAATGTCTAAAAAATTACTTAAAAACTACAAAAAATATGATGCACGACGAATTTCTGAAATAGTTACAGGTGATGAAACATGGATACATTATTTTGAACCTCAGAGGAAAACTAATAACAAGATGTTGTTGACTAAAAAAGCAAAACGTCCTGTTATCGCAAAGAGATGTCTAAGTACTAAGAAAATATTGTACACAATTTTCTTCAATAGTGAAGGTCCTGTAGTTCATGTTGCCATTCCAAAAGGCCGATCAATCACCGGGCATGTATATAAAAACAATGTGCTAAAGAAAGTTAAGAAACACTATGAAAGAAAGAGACCAAGGTCTGGAATCCGCAACATTCGACTCCTTCATGACAACGCCTAGCACATAAATCCAAGATTGTGACCTCATTTTTAGAGAAAGAAAAGATTCATGATTTACCCCACCCGCCCTGTTCACCAGATTTGTCTCCCTGTGACTTTTTCCTTTTCCCTAAATTAAAAAAGCACTTGTCAGGAAGAAGATATGCTTCAAGGAATGCCTTGGGTTCTGCCATTCATCAGTTCATGAACACCATTCCCAAAAAGCAGTAAATAAATGCATTCAAAGCTTGGATAAAACGGCTGAAGTTATGTGTATCTGTTAAAGGGGAGTATTTTGAAGGAAAAAAAAATAAAAATATTTTCTTAAGTTATTTTTTTAATATCGATGACATTATTTATTGAACGCCCCTCGTATATATGCATTAGGGATGTATTCAAAGACCTTCAATTTGTACTATATAGCTGTTGCGCAGTCTAATAAGCCAAAATTAAAATCAAATGTATTTTTTGTCGATTAAATCGATTGATCACACCAGGAAATCGAAAAATGTGACAGTTATTCCTCAAATACTAAAATTTCTGAACGTTTAGTTGCCATATACTGTTTCATCGATGTAAACCAATAGTAATGGGTGTCCGAAACAGATTTTCCAGATTCGCACTTCACCGACAGTGTTTCTAAGTTCTTCAAATTACTAATACTTTTGAAGAAAACGTGTTCTCATAATCGTCGGGTGACACATTGTCTATACATTTTCTGTTACTTTGTATCACAAATGATTTTAATCTATTTGGTATGCGATCGAGTGAAAGCTCACAAGTCATAGGGTGATAAATTAAGTATGCAAAAATTTAATATCGGGATAAAAAAAAGTTTAGGGAATTTTGTTACAACAAAATATTTCTTTTTTCAGACCAACACACACGAATATTGCAATCTTGGGAGAAAGACATCTTTTATGAAACTTCTTGTTTTAAAGACATGAAAGACTTTTTTATTTCCCATCAAATTGTTGTTGTGACTGGGTCTACTGGGTGTGGCAAAACTGCTTTGATCCGCCACATTGCTTTACAGCTGGAGTCCGAGTATCAGATTGTTCCAATCTCCAAACCTGAGGACATCATCAACTATGGTGACATAAAGAATTCTCAAATATTTATCATAGATGACGTTTTAGGCGTTTTTACATTAGAGAGAAATTTATTATCAGATTTAGAAAGACATAAGGATCAAATTGAAAATGTTCTAGATATGAAATCAAAGGGGTCAAAACTATTCATGTCTTGCAGACTAGCAGTATACAAAGAAGCAAAAGAATTAAATGTGGTGTTTTTTAAAGAAAACAATATCCTGAATTTAGATAGTGAGGATAACAGTCTTACAGTAGAAGATAGGAAAGGCATATTTGAATCTCATTCAAAAAATGCAGGGGTTGCATATATCATTGATAAGAAAATTCTACACGGAAAAGGGACCTTTATGTTTCCCCTCCTTTGTCAAATGTTTAGCAGTGATGAAAACATAAGAAAATATGGAACAGAATTTTTTAAATACCCAACCAAATGCTTAATTTCAGAAATAGGTAAAATTAAGACAAGGAATAAGCTGCAATATTTGTCAATGGTTCTCTGCATGTTGAACAACAATTGCCTAACAGAAGAAATGCTTACTAATACAAATATGGTGGAAAAGGCTTGCAGTTCATGTAGAGTTAGGAAAAAACCTCAAAATTGGGAAATAATTGAAAAGTTGTCACACTTAACAGGTACATATATCACGGAAAATGATAACAAATATACATTTACTCATGATTCCATGTTTGAGGTTATTGCATCACATTATGGACAGCAGTTTCCCGATCAAATATTGGAGAACATGAGCAGCAATTTCATTGCAAGCAAAGTTGTTTTAGATAATACATATAGCAGAGATGAATTATGCATCAAACTTAGTAAGTCTCTGTACAAAAAATTTGCAAGTAGATTATACGATGATATAAAAGAAGGGAATCTACATGATGTTTTTTTAAATAAAGCTCTCTTAGACCCAATTTTCAAAAAACAATTCATAAACATTTTGACAGACATGCCATACGAGTATACCATGTCGTATTTCTTATACCCAAGAGAGAGATATTTTGAAAATGTTATTCTCAACGCAAAGAAACATAGTGAAAAGCATAACGAAGAAACAGAATTACAGAGAGAGTTTGAAAGACAAAATCTTCTTCTGGGCCTCAGATGTATCGGCAACAGAAAAATTTATGAAATACGCGCCATCAGTTTTATCATTTATTATGGTCATCTCGATTTACTAAAATATTTTATGGAATTTGTTGTCAGGCATCATCAAGATAAATCTGTCATTTTTGGATCTACACAGGAAGAACAAGTAAAATTACTCGTATTGGCGTGTTATAATGGCAATTTAAGTATAGTTAAAATCCTGATAGAACATATCGGAAAAGAAAGCATTAACAAGATGCCTATGGGGGAAATCAAACCAATTGACAATCGTCACAGATGCATAACCCCCGTGATTGCCGCATGCTTAAGAATGAATTATGATGTTGTTAAATATCTTTATGATAATGGAGCAGATTTTAATCCCCCAAACAGTATATATCCTGCTCTGTGGGTACCAACAAGAATTGGGGACCTTGAAACAGTAATCAAATTACTTAATTTTGGTGCTGATTGTAACAAATGTGATATTAGAGGATGCTCTCCCCTGGCTTTGGCGTCAAAATTCGGTCACGAACATATCGTAGTAAAACTTATCGGGCACAGTGCAGAAATAAATATGTGTGATATCCGAGGTAAGTCGCCTCTCTATTTAGCTTCAATGAATGGCCATCTTCTTATTGTAAAACAGCTTATTCGAAAAAAGGCTAACATCAATAACACAGATATTCACGGTCAGACATCTCTACACTTAGCATCACAAAATGGTCATTTGTCCGTTGTAGAGACATTGATTGAGCACGGTGCGGATTGTGACCTCTCTGATAAAAATAACTTGACACCTCTCCATAGAGCAGCATTAAGAGGCCACGCTTCCGTTGTAAACAAGTTAATAAAGCATGCTGCAGACATCAACAAGTGTGATAATCATGGCCAGTCAGCATTATATCTAGCCTCATGGAAAGGACATCTATCTGTTGTAGAAAAACTCATTGAACGTGATGCTGACATCAACAAGTGTAATATGAAAGAACAGTCGCCTTTACATTTAGCGTCTAGAGAGGGTCATTTATCAGTAGTTGAAAAACTAATAGAACATGCTGCTGACGTCACAAAGGTTGAACTTCAGGGTCTATCATGTCTTCATTTAGCATCACAACATGGTCATTTGGCAGTTGTCGAAATATTAATTGGGCACGGTGCTAGTGTCCTCGATGGTGATGAAAATAATACAACACCTCTACATTTTGCGTCCGTAAAGGGCCATCTTCCTGTGGTCCAAGCACTGATTCGGCACGGTGCTGTTGTCAACATAAGTGATATTCAGGGTCGTTCATCTCTGTATCTAGCGTCATTGGAAGGTCATTTAACTGTTGTAAAAAAACTTATTGACTTCGGCGCAGATATCAACATCTCTGATATTCACGGTCAGACATCTCTACATTTAGCATCACAAAATGGGCATTTGTCAGTTGTAGACACATTATTCGAGCATGGTGCAGATTGTGACCTCTGCGATAAAAATAACTTAACACCTCTGCATAAAGCAGCATTTAGAGGTCACGTTTCTGTTGTTAACAAGTTGACAAAGCATGTTTCAGACATCGACAAGTGTGATAATCATGGTCAGTCATCATTATATCTAGCATCTTCCGAGGGCCATTGTGCTGCTGTTCACAAACTTATTGAACACGGTGCCGACATTAATAAGTGTAATGTGGAAGGTCGAACGCCTCTACATATAGCATCATCAAAAGGCCATCTTCCTGTTGTAGAAAAGCTTATCGACAGTGAAGCTGACATCAACAAGTGTGATATGAAAGAACAGTCGCCTTTACATTTAGCGTCTATGGAAGGTCATTTATCTGTTGTTGAAGAACTAATAAAAAATGGCGCTGACGTCAAGAAGGTTGACCTACAGGGCCTATCATGTCTTCATTTAGCATCACAACATGGCTATTTACCTGTTGTCGAAACATTATTAGCTTATATTGCTTCCTGTTTAAGAAATGATAAAAATGACATAGCACCCCAAGGTCTTTCGTCAAAAAGTAACTATATGCCTGTTGTAAAAGAATTTATAAACTACAAACGTGATATTCATGGAAGGATATCTCTATTTTTAGCATCATCAAATGGTTATCTTTCTATTGTAGAAAAACATATTGAGTACGGTGCTGACCTAAATATGTGTGATATTTATGGTCAGTCGTCTTTACATATAGCTTCACAGAATGGTCATTTGTCTGTCGTAGAAGCATTAATCTCGAACGGTGCCGACTGTAATCTATGCGATAAAGATAGAATTACACCTCTTCATCGAGCGTCATTCAATGGATATGCTTCCATTGCTGAAACACTACTGGAACATGGTGCCAATATCAATAGTCTTGATATAAATGATAAGTCATCTATATATTTAGCTTCATTGAAAGGTCATCTACCTGGTGTAGAAAAACTTATCGAACACAATGCTAACCTCAACATGTGCAATATTCGCGGTTTGTCATCTTTGCACATAGCATCAAACAATGGTCATTTGTTCGTTGTAGATACACTAATAAAGCACGGTGTTGAAATTGATTGTTGTGATAAAAAAAGATTAACACCCATACATTTTGCATCATTAGAAGGTCACTATTCTGTTGTAGAAAAATTATTGAAACATGGTTCCTCAATTAATATGGTTGATATTAATGGTAAGTCACCTTTAATGTTAGCCTCATTGAGAGGCCATCTTACTGTTGTTCAAAAGCTTATTGAGCATGGTGCCGACATCAACATGAGCGATGCATCTGGAAGATCAGCTCTAACCTTAGCGTCACTAAAAGGACATCTTCATGTTGTAGAAAAACTTCTTGAACACGGTGCGGATATCAACAAATGTAATTTGTAGGACGAGTCAAATTTTAATTTAACATCAATGGGTAAGAATGTGTCCGTTATAAATGTATAAATGTATAAATTCGCCAAATCATGCTGTCCGGTGTAGATAAAATTATACATTACCTGTGTTATTTATATTATGAGGGATTTTTTTCTGTTTTGGATAATTTTAAGTAAAATATGGAGATATACGATACATTTTGCATAGGAAACATTTCATAATCAGCTAGTGATGTAAACATTTTATCCTTTGTGTAGGTAAATTTAGGTAACGTTTATGTGCTGATACATTTGCAGTGTTAGTTAATATACAAAATTTGAAACATCAAAATGAACTGGTTCTTGACATTTTTTTTGTAGAAATGTAAAATATGGGACCAATGTTTTGTCATTCCAGTTATTCAAATAAAAAATTTCATGTATTTTTTTTTCGCTTAATGACATTATTTTGCAATGCAAAAAAACTAAATAATATATCTCTCTTTTGATTTTTAGCTCACCTGAGCCAAAGGCTCAAGTGAGCTTTTCTGATCAAAATTTGTCCGTTGTCTGTCGTCGTTGTCGTCGTCGTTGTTGTTGTCGTTGTCGTCGTAAACTTTTTACATTTTCATCTTCTTCTCAAAAACCACTGGGACAATTTCATCCAAACTTGTCACAAAGTATCCTTGGGTGAAGGGGATTCAAGTTTGTTCAAATGAAAGGCCACGCCCTTCTCCAAGGGGAGAAAATCATGAATTTGTTAAAAATTAATTGCATTTTTAAAAAATCTTCTTCTCGAGAACCACTGGGCCAGGAAAGATGAAACTCATGTGGAATCATCCTCAGGTAGTTTAGATTCTAGTTTGTACAAATCATGACCCCTGGGGCAAGGGTGGGGCCAAAATGGCCGACCCAAGTTTTACATAGGAATATATAGGAAAAATCCTTAAAAATCTTCTCCAGAACCACTGGGCCAGGAAAGATAAAACTCATGTGGAATCATCCTCAGGTAGTGCAGATTTAAGTTTTTTTCAAATCTTGACTCCTGGGTCTAGGGTGGGGCCAAAATGGCCGACCCAAGTTTTACTTAGGGATATATTGGGAAACCTTTTCAAATCTTCTTTACAAGTAATTCAAAGCTATGATTTGTGATATTTTTATGGAATCATCCTCAGGTAGTGTAGATTCTAGTTTGTTCAAATGATGAAAACCTGGCTGGGGGAGGGGGTGGAAGTAAATTCAAGCCTGATGTGCTCAGGTGAGCTCTGAGGCCCCTGGGCCTCTTTTTGTGTGGAGTGTTTTTTTTTCTCACCTTTTATGATTTTATGTATGGATTGAACGAATGAAGTGGAGCGTACATTGTATATGCAAAAATTTTCACTAGAAAGGGTTGTATAATGTTGAGAATATATAATATCGTATTATTC